AATGACTAATATTTCCAGTACTATGTCGAACAGGAGTGGTGAGAGTGGGCATCCCTGTCTTGTTCCTGTCCTTAGGGGAAATGGTTTTAGTTTTTGTCCATTGAGTATGATGTTGGCTGTGGGTTTGTCATATATGGCTTTTATTATGTTGAGGTATGATACTTCAATTCAAACTTTCTAAGTGGAATTATGTTCTTTCTTTACAGATATTTACTGGATATAGAATTTAATTTGGCAGGTTTCTTTCCTAAGCACACTACATTATTAAACTGTTCTTGGCTTCATTGTTGCTTTTGGAAAAATTAACTACTATTCTCATATTGCTCCTTTGAATGTAATCTGTCTTTTCTGCTTGGTTTTCAGATTTCTCCTTGTCTCTGGTTTTTCTGCTTGCTTGTAATTATATGTTTAGTTATGGATTTCTTTTTATTTATCTTGTTTGTAGTTTGTTGGTTTCTGGAATGTGACTATCTGGTTGCTCCTGGGAAATTCTCAACTGTTACTTATTCAATTATTGCCTTTGTCCTGTCCGGTTTTCTCCTTTTCCTCTAGTACCAATTAAAAGTATATCAAACCTTTCACTCTATTATTCCTCTCATTTTTTTCATAGTTTTGACTTGTCTGCTACATTGTGGATAATTTCTAGCCTATTTTTTAAAGTATCCTGTTCCCTACAAATATTCTGAAATATTTCTTATTCCTATAAGCATAATTGTTTCATCGTTTGAGTCTGACAAGATCAAAGGTCTCCGTGGCCTTTTCTGTTGTCTCTTCTTTTTCTTTCAGTTTTTACTTTGGAGTTTTTCCTCCAATGCCTAGTTATCTTTTATTATAATTGGATGTTGTATTTGTTTCTTTTTTTTTAATTCTCATCCGAGGATATTTTTTCATTGATTTCTTTCTTTTTTTTCTTTTTTAGTGAGCGTAGAAGGGAAGGGGAGAGACAGAGAGAGAAACTTCAGTGTGAGAGGGACACATTGATTTATTGCCTTCCATACAAGCCCCGACGAGGGCCTGAGATGGAGCCTGCAACAGAGGTATAGCCCTTG